ATACATTTACAGTATAGGCGACTGAATCTCAACCGGGAGGCGTAGTTCATGCCCGAATAGTAGAATAGCAGGTGAGTATCCCGTAGACCCATATACCGACGTTAGTGAAATAATCTACCATAACTAGTAGTAGCGATTTCCTTTTATTCGTCGTCGTCAATGGTCCCATAACATCGATACCAACGTGCTGGTTTGGTCCAGTCGTTCTCATCGGCATTAACGGTGCGCGTGGTGTTTGCTTGGGCGATTTTATACGGCAGCACGTGTTGCATCTTTTGCAGAAGTCGGTTACATCTTCATGGATAGACGGCCACCAAAAGCGCTGACAAACAGCATACTCAGTTCTTCGTTCTCCTGCGTGACCGAGTTCACGATGAACTTGCTCTACAATACTCTGTGTCTTTACTTGCGGTACAATAAGCAGGGGTTGTCTGGACTCATTAATTAGGAATAGCGTGTTATCATATAGTTTTAAACTGCTCCATTTGTTACAGATGCGACGCGTAGCGAGGGTTTGGTCTCTTAACTCCCTCATGGACGGCTTATTGTTCCCATGCAATTGTCTTTGATAAATAGTCTGCAAATGTGGATCTGCTGCTTGCAGTGAGGACCAGTCAGTTTCTGTTGCCGTACTCAGAATGCAGCAACGGCATCTGTGGACAAAGTCAGGCGAGAGAGTGCATCTGGATTGGCATGTCTATTCCCCGGACGGTACACGCATGTGAAGTCAAATGCCTGCAGTCGTTCCTGCCAGCGTGCTACTTGTCCTTCTGGTTCGCGAAAAGAACGAAGCCACTGTAATGCACGGTGATCCGTGCGCACGCGAAAAGGTCAACCCAGTATATAATGACGGAAGTGTTGTAAGAATTTTACTAATGCTATCATTTCTCGATGCGTTGTGGAATACCGTGTTTCACACTTGTCTAGTCGTCGGCTGGCGTAAGCGATGACTCTCTCCTGGCCATCTCGGGCTACCTGTGAAAGAACTGCTCCGATAGCTGAAGAACTAGCATCTGTGTCGAGTATGAACTGACCTCCGTCTGCTGAGGTGTCGGGAAAGGCTAATATAGGTGGTGAGGTTAGCCATGCCTTTAACATATCAAATGCCTGTTGACATTCGTTGGTCCATAAGAATTTTCGTCCCTTATGTGTCAGTCTGTGCAAAGGTGCTGCCAAAGATGCAAAGTCGCGAACAAAACGTCTGTAATAGGAAGCGAGACCCAGGAAACTGTGAACGTCTTCAGGTGCTTTTGGTTGCGGCCAAGTAACAATGGCACGCGTCTTTTCATTATCTGTACAAACGTCATCTGAGGTGATACGATGTCCTAGGAATACTACTTCCTTCTGTAGCTGTCGAAATTCGGATGGTTTTACTTTTAGGTTATGTTGTCTAAGACGTTGCAGGACAGCTTTCAGGTTAGCATTGTGTTGTTCGGGTGTGCTACCGTATACAATAATATCATTAAGGTAAATCAAACATTTATGGGGCACTATATCTTGTAACACTGTTTGCATCAATCGTTGGAAAGTAGCCGGGGCATTCGTTAGCCCGAAAGGCATAACCTGAAATCTACGCCCAATATCATGTCCCAGGCTATAGTAAGGCAAACTAAAAACTCATGACGAAACGAACACTTCCCCAATGTTAAGTCAAATGCTGTCTTATAACACACCTTAAGGGGTTTCCCACCGGCTGTTGTTAACGCAGACGAGCATCGTTTTCGCTGGGCCTTATGGTTCAATCTCTTTAGGAACTCCTCTTTGATGAGGGATACGGACGCTCCAGTATCTAAAAGTATTTCAGTCACTACTCCTTGCACTATACCTTTTAGTGTGGTAGGGCCGATTTAGTTAACATGACAAGAAGATAAATAGTAACGGCATTGCTCACCTGGATTACGAAATCGATTGTGTCCGCACCTCCGAAGATTTCTTCCAAACCTCCTGCAATAGATACATTCAGTCTGACCTCCATGGTAGTTGTTATAAAGTAGTCGTCTCGTCCACGTCCAGTTTGACCCCCCACAATTAATACGTCGGCTGGAAAGGTGTGCAACAGAAGCTGCCCTCGAGGAACAGTCCAATTGACTGGTTTCCACCGTCCTCACAGAATTTCGATGGGCTTCTCATGGGTTCGACATTTTGTCCGCCGTGATAAATCAGAGTGCCGTTCTCTTTAATTCGGCGGTATTGGCCGGTGGTATTCATAGTAGGTGTTCTCGTAATGATTCATGCGCCAGCCCTTCTACACAACGGGAACGTACCGATTCGTCACGTCCTGGGGTATCCAAATCAGGAAAAGCCTGCACTGCAGTTAGTTGTAAAGCGTCAAGGAATTCTATCGGGTTTTCTCCTGGTTTCTGGCGACGAGCCAAAAAATGCATAGTCACCTGCTGTTTATCGACAGAGAGGGAAAAACAGTCGTCCAATATCTTCCAGTTGTGGGGTAAATAATTAGCTGTTGCGAAGCCATATGCGGCCACTTTCTTCACCGCCTCATCGCTCAGGAAAGATATAAGGTAATCAGTATGTTATAACACCATCACTTGCTGCAGATATGCTTCCACCCTGAATTCGAAGCAGCATAATCTGACGAATTTTCCAAAAGTGGTGGCTGAGGCGGGCTAACTGGTTGTTGACCTGGTTGGCAGCACCGGGGATTCATCTGAGTTTGCTCTAAATTTTCCTGTAGGCACCTCCATCACCAGTTGTAGCACGTGTAATCAGCAGTCAATGAAGGGCAGAGAGAATCTAAAATCACAACACACAGGGTTAATTCGACACCTCACACCAAGGGAGAACACAAGGTTGTTGTCACGGCACTCTTTTATTTCAAAATCAAATACGCGGGCTTTTTTTACAGGAATAGGGTGGGGTAGTGTACCAATGTCTTATGAGTCATCTTGTAGGTTTATAGCACTCAGGGCTTGCGCTTCAGCTTCCAAAGCATTTGTGTTTGATCGCCCTGAAACAGAAAGAAAACATAACAAGTTAGCAACATCATACATAGTGATTTTGACTCCGTTACATACAGACTGCGTTAAAATACCAATCCCTATAAAAAGGTAAATGAAGAGTTAGTTTGGCGAAAATATCAACAGATAAATATAAGACTGGATAAATAGGAAATGTAAATTATTCTTCTAGCGGCTTGTATTACTAGCAGGTCACACCAACGATACTATTCATAACTTCATCTTTCACTTCAATACAGTTTATTTTATTAAATGAACCGATTTCGTTGATTGATGAGAAAGCGAACCTTCGTCATTAACTCAATGATGTAAACAAGACAGCTTAGTCCACCGGCGACGGCTCCCGTTAACGCGCATCGTTAGGCGAGTTTCATTACTAACAACAATTCAAGTTTCCTGTTTCTCGCGGTCTGGAAACATATCTTTGTAGTAAGCTTTGAGCGACGGTGATCAATTACGGTCAATTACGGTTTGGTGCATGAATTTGAGGAGACAGACATGAGAATGGTGAGCGTACAGATGAGGCGAAGCGAAGCGAATAGGAGAAGGCTTGTGAACCAACTCTCATGCGCTGAAGCAATGACTAGGCATTTAAAGGGAGGTAGTAATAAGCTAGATATGCGATAAGTGAGTAAGCATCCACACACAATCAATTACACAATAAGCGATACTGTTATCGAATTATTACAAATACAAAAATAATGGTCGATACCATTATCGAATAATTCAAATCATTGAAGTACAATGAGTGAATGGTGAGATGATACAGAATCATGTGCATGCAAAATCCAAATAATCAGAATTACCTTCAGTTATCTAGATGGAAATATCTATTTGAAGAATTCTCTTGCCCCAAAGTAGATGGTGCACTGAGGAAAATCTGCTCAAAAGTTTTCATTGTCAATATTATGTATAATCTTGTATTCGATTTCAAGACGTTCCATACAGTCATCAAAGACTTTCCTAACTGATTAAGAACTGAGACAGTCGAGATGCTAATGAGATAATTACAAGCACTCCAACTGCGTCCAACTGTCCGTACTCTAATATCCACTACTAGAGAAACCAACGTACTTGCAGTCGAGTCAGGCTCCAAATGATGTGTGAAGAAATTGTCAATAAAGACAAACTTCATGCTTTGATAATCTGAGTTTGGCAAGAACAGCAAAAAACTCTCTTTCCTTCACTACATTTGAAAGGTTCCCCCAGAAATCTAATCACAAAGAAATAGACGAAATTCAGGAGTGATGTGTATTTGATTTTAGATAGTGAGATTAATGGTGGAAGAAAATCTGTTCTATCAAAGATTTCAAAGTATTACAAAGTCCTTGTAGCTGTTGAGATATGGTTGCCAAGAAAAAACTCCTAAACGTATCGAAACCAGGAAGGAAGTTGTTATTGAATAACGATATTTATTGATTACAAGTCGCGTGCTATCAAAATGATATCACGTGTACAGCCAGACGACGAAATAAACAAGAACGATCAATTCGACCATGCGACTGGAACGGTTGACGCTTGAGTTATGGTTTTTTGTCCAGATAAACAAAAGGTGTACAATAAAACAGTTATTGTTATACATGTTCAATAATAATTATTCCTTTTCTTCATAAAATAGTTTCACTATATCCTAGACATCAAGTCAAGTAACTATGCACTGAGACTACCGTGATTTGTGAGGCGATACTTTCAGGATAGCCATCAGCAAACACCCACCTGCTGATATATTCCTCTTTTAAGTTAAGTGTATGCGTGATGTGAAATGTCCCCCTAGCTGCAAAACTCAACCCTATCAGTGGAGCTCGTCAGTTAAATATCAAAAGACAACATTAAAATTCACAAGTTCGTCTACACTAATAGGACAAGAAATTAGATACCATCTTTCAAACGGTGCGTTACTAAATGTAACGTTGAGGGAGATATTTTATACATAAAATTACGTTCATGTCAAAAGTTAAAAATGAGATTACTCATTACTAATTGCATCATTTGCTTATGTTCAGTTGTTCTGGTTGCTGATATACTTCTATCATAAATATTATTCGCTTCATACGGGATGTCCTGCATGATATCCTGCGAAGTACGAATCCTAGTCAATGCTTTATGTCAGTATATGCAAAATATTGACTTACGGAAAAGAAATGTACATTGATTATGCAAAGCTCTGATATCACTTCTGTTATTAAGCTACTAATATGTTATACTCTACTAGCCTCATAAAGCTATATTCTTGCGACAACCTTTAGCGATTTGTCAACTAATCAGAAAGAAGGGTTAGGTAGAAACATTTTCTAATAAAATTTAATTTGGAGAGAGAAACATACCTGATATGTTTGAAAAAAGTGTTAGTCAGAGACTAAAAATCTATATAGGGTCATTGGTTAAGGCTATAGCCTGTTACAAAAGGTAGCCCATATTGCCATAATTCTTTCACTATTGGCCTCGTTTAATAAACTGCAACAAGCCTCATAGCCGTTCCGATACACAAACTTCCCAATTATCTCCATCAGTTCACTAGTGTTAGTATAAGCACAGGTTACTTTCAGTCCCGGAGGACTACTTTATATTTCCAATCTAGAGAGTAGTTGTCGTACTTATAGACATTATTTACCAACCGGTTTTTCTCGACTTGACTATTTTGAATTGTCTAAGAAATTTGCAGTGAACTAGGTCAATTGGTATGAATAGATAATACAAAGTCTCATAGTTTGGGATTTTTGGATACAACTACCCTACATTCGGGCATAGTTCAAATCTTTTTTCTTTCCAGTCAATAATTTTTAAACCGAAAAATATGAAATAGTATCATGGCGAATAAATAGATTGTGTTAAAACAGAACCACTGACAGTTTGTTCGTTTACGAAAGGTTCTCGCTGTATGGTGCTCCTTTAAGATTTATTTGACAAATGGGAGTTGTTAATGTCAGGTTTGTGTATCAGGCTGTAATCCTAGTCTACACTTTCAAAAGTGTACAACAGTACCCAAATAAAATTAGCTAGACCCTTAGTTGAATTCGTTAATCTGTGCTTGCTAATTGAAGGTAAAGTAAAATGTCATGACTTTGTTAAGGTATTAACTAACAATTTTCTCTTAACATGTTGAATCAAGTCATTCTGATTTCCATTTTCATTTTATTTCAGTAGTCATGTCAGATACATTGATTGGGAACTAGAAGACTTTCTCAATGAATGCATAGCTATGTTACAAAGTTTGTTCATCATAAATCATTCAAAGTAATCTCGTCAAATCACTCATTTACCTTTTGATAGTGAAATATGTTTAGAAAAACACTGGACGAAAAACATTGCAAAGACAGTTTATGATACGTTTCTCGATGCCATCACAAAATATGCCGTAGGTGATGTGCCACCAGTTCTTGAAACTTCAAACAATTCACTCATTCATATTTTTCGCAATAATTTATATTTTCTAGCCGTGTGTGCCAATGAGCGTATGTTCTTACTATTTATTAACCCACACTATCTTAGTACCTCCCTTACTCGTGATTGAGTTCTTAGATTGTATACACTCAATAATCGAAGATTATTTTGGTTCTGCTGCTGAAACTTCAATCAAAGAAAATATTGTTTCAATATATGAAGTTGGATATCGTTTGTTAAACTAATCCAAGTTCCTAGATTTTAGATGAAATGCTTGATGGTGGTTTCCCATTGGCCACTGAACCTAATATTTTGAAAGAAATTGTCCGTCCCCCCAACTTTCTTCAATCACTTACGGATGCAGTTACTGGAAAAAACACGATGATTGGCTCTACACTGCCTACAAACCAGTTGTCAAATATACGTTGGAGACGTTGTGGTGTGAATTACTCTAACAACGAAGCATATTTTGACCTTATTGAAAACATCGATGCCATTATCGATCGTTCTGGTTATGCAATATCCAAAGAGATTCACGGATCAGTAGGTCTTTAATATTTTAACGTTGAATAGTTACGAATAACAATCAGACAAATTTTTCTTACTGTCGTATTTCTAGTTACTCACTAAATTAGTTCACAACCAAGTAAATAGATCTTGCATAACTGACGGTTTGATCAAAAATTTGAAACGTCAGTTACATGAGTAAAAATGAGCTAGTAACAACTTACAAAGTATGGTCTTCGTTTCCGTTAAACACGGAGTAAGAAACTCAGAGTCCGCTCGTCTTTCAATTTTAGATGTAACTGACTAGTGGGAACTACTGAACCTCTCTGTGGCACCATTTAGTTCACTTTTCAAGGAATAGACTATAAGGTTTGGTCTGTATATCTTTTATCTTGGTCGAGCAACAGTATTTTTCTAGATTGACTCTTAAGTAATCTGTTAGAGGTGATCCTATTTCAATCCTTGTAGGACTCATCATTAAAATTGAGTTGTGTTGAAAAACATATTAGGAATGGCCCTTTTTAGAAAATGTTTTAAAATATCGATGTTGATGCTCATATTATCAATACGGGAACTTTATGTGTGAGGAACATTTGTAAAGGGAGAGGTAAGGTCCAATCATATTGTGTTATTTTTCCAATTAGTTTTGTCGTCTCTGTAATTATGTTATGAAATGAATGTCTGTGGTTGCCATTTAAGCTGAAGAATTTTAATCCCAAAGAATAATTGAGTAGGTAGGTTTGAATAGTTGTAATATTTGCCCTACAATCTTTTTAAGTGCTTTTTAAGAACTCTATAGGATCAGTTTGACTGGTTAACCATGTATTTGTAAAGTTAATATGTACTTTTATATGTCATTTATTTGGAATATGCACCGGCTATCATATTCAATTAAAGTACACAAGATGAATCTTTTATGTAAGTTGTATTCATATATATCTACTCATATTTTTCATCACTTGCTAATAGGTTGAATGTTTTATTAAGTTATCTGGAACTCCAGATCTAACATTGGCTTTCACAAATCATCGGTTGATTGATGATGCTGACCTTCATCCATGTGTTCGCTTCTCACGTTGGAAAAGAGAAAGAGTTCTATCGTTTATACCACCTGATGGAAAGTTTTCTTTGTTTAATTATCATGTAAACTCATTAAGGTGAGTAGAATGTAATATGAGGTCTTCGGTAAGTGTATATCTTGTCTTGATTTTCGAATCCACTTTAGAGGACATTGTTTTTCAGATCCTTACACTTACACAACAACAGAATCAAGAGACGTCTTGAATCACTTATTAAAATATACTAAAAAGTTGGGTTGTTAAGACACTTTGCTGAAATCATAAATTGATCCATGTTAGATTGCCACTGGAAACCTTGAGGCATTAGACGGCCGTTTCGCTCTAATGTGAGACTCATCAGTAGCGCGCACTGGGACCTCATGATCCGGATTTAAACCCAGAACCTTTGATCTCGCACGCAAACGCTTAATCGCTTGACCACTAAGCTAGACATTAACATCATTGAATGCTGGCTCATTGGTTAAAAGGTTAATCGTTCTCGTGAAAGACTAAAGGCCCTGTGTTCGACTCTCGCTCACGGAGTCGTGGTACACACTTCTGATGAGTCTCATATTAGGGCGAAACGGCCGTCCAGTGCCTCCAGGTTTTCAATAGTATTCTAACATTTACCAATTCATGAGTTCAATAAAACTCAGCAATATCCACAACCTTATACTAACAAGACTCTTTTTGTTGTAGAAACAGTTGTTTAGTGTGTTTCTTCATGTTTATAACTTGCTCAAACTATGTTGATTACCACTGAGAGTCCTTTTTTATCTAACTATTGATCATCTGACTTTTCTTCTATTTCATTAATACTCATTATAATCAGGTATTCTGTCTTTCTACTATTGAAGAGATAGGTTGAAAAAAAATACCATTATGCTTATGTTCACCGTGAATCCTTCATCATTGGATTATTTCTGTTACTGCAACTTAAATAATGCTACGTACAAATTATATGAAAATCACATCTCACCTCTTTGTTGGCTTTCATAAGTTGTTTATTTGTACTTTCTTCACATCAGTGACTTGTGAAACTTTTTAACATCAGAACCTTTATTGATTTATAGATGACAAAAATAACTTAGTCCATTAATCGGTTGGACATAACAGAGATTATTATTATTGTGTCAGGATATTAAGTTTGATCACAAATTTCTTATTTAAATTTAACCCAAAATATCTTTTTTTTTCTCCACAAAATCAATTACAGCCCTGTGTCACTTCCTATCATACTTAGACATAATGTTGTTCTACGTGAACATGGAGGTCGTTTGGATGTAGTTGTAATACCTAAAACAATGGGTAAACCTGTAAGTAAAAATTTTCATGTAAATATGTGTAAATAGTGATCATGTTTTTTTACTTGAATAAGAATTTTTAAGCATTTCCTCATTCTAAAAAAAATATTACACAATACATTCTCTATGTACAAATATGCATTCAAAAAATCTGATCCAATTAATCATTGAATAGTTATCAGTGTTCATGTGTGTCCATTTTTTCGTGCTGATCATATCTTATCGACTAACTTTCAACATGGCTACTAGTCTTAGTGACTTGACATTGTGTGCACTAAATCTACTCTTAGTATTAAGAGTTCAAAATAATTGGCTCATTGAGTCTCATCTCTGAAATAGTAATTTATTTCCACCCGAAATTGTCAGTTGTTACGCTCGTCTCTAGGTATGCTTAAACTATCACGAGTTCACCTTGGTCGAATAATGAGAGCAAAACAATGAACCATCGTCCAGTTAGGCTACTGTGATCCTTTGACCAAACTGAATCAGCGAGAAGTCGTAATATAGTGTAGAAATTGTATTCTACAAACACCCAGTCAGCGCACAATGAATCCAAGCACTCAAATTTCGTTTATTTATACTCTGTAGAGACGTCCTTGGGACAGTCGCGAAAATAGCTCACTAAAATGATACAGTAACCAATCACAGCCAAGGATTTTGCTGGTGGGAAATGTGATCTCAAGGTCAACTGATCAGTCAATGAAATAAATGCCAAATAAAGATATTTATCAAGCGAGTTCTGGGGATCTAACATCCTCAACATCAGTAAAAAGTGTCGAATAGGAAATATGTTAGGCATAGATCGATGAGTTCTGGGAAACTTTGACTCTGAAGTTGCGTATATTTTTGGAGATCCCTTGGAGATTGGTGACGAGCAGTGGTAGAGTTTCTTTAGCTAAGTTTGGCTCTGTTGAAGTGAATAAGGCTTTTATATCGAAGAGTATCATCAATTCGTCTCTGTCGATTTGAATCCCTCCTGAGTTTATCCAAGAATTGTGTGAGAGACTTAATGTTTCAATACTCTTGAGATTTCTCTTGATAAGTTGTATGTTGGGGTTCCAGGGAGAGGGATACAATTGGACGTAGTCGAATGTTGGTTCTATGTAGTTTCGACGAACCGTAAAATCGTGGAATTACTGGTCCACTGGGTTTTATTCTCCATCGGTCTTGTTTCGATGATTGTCCTGCTTCAAAATCTTGTTTAGACTCCTTGAGGTTTGGTTGTCTAACCTTTTTATTAGGTTTTTGTCCACAAACCCAATGAAAATCGAACACGAACTAAGGTTATGTGTTCAGATTCCTATAGCTTCTGTTATATGTAGAAAACGGGGATGAACCTCATTAATAAATGACGAAGGTTGACGGTAAATCACCCGAAATGAGTTGGTTTTATGTACCATATAACCACTATCAACTAGGTGTTCCAATATAGAGCTGTGTCATATCTTTGTCTAGCCCTTTCTAAACCAAGCTAGAAGATTTCCAATCACTCATTTGTTAATTTGCATGGTATATATTAAATTTTAAGGTCTGTTGATTGTTAGGAACTGATTAGATTAGAGCTGAAGTATGTTTAGACTGTTAACTAAATAATTAAAAGACCATTTTTCAGTCAATTTTTAAAGCAGAAAAGAATAATACAAGTGTTTACCTTATATTCAGATGATCTATTCTCCTTTATTGATTCCTGGTAGGTTGAAAATGTAAAACTTACCATCCAATTACCACCAGAAGTATTAAATATCACAGCATCACCAAATGTCGGACGAACAAGTTTTGATGTAACAACAAAGCTGTTTCAATGGGATATTGGTCGTATTGAACCGAAATCTACAAATCCTTCAATGAAAAGTAGTGTACGTTTTACTTATAATATGTAGTCGGTTTATTTCATAATAGTTTCATTTATTCGATTTGCGGTGAGAATTCACATATTTAAACATTTGTAATTAGTTTGTTTAATTACAGTAATTTAGGCCTCATGTTCATATTACCAAGCTAAATCAATTTGGGATGTTGAAATGATTCAATAAAATAAACGTTGTTTTACCTGACATTACCATGATGTTTGGAAACAGGATTGGTATTAGCGAAGAAAGTTGGACAAAAATTATTACATATTTAATTAAAAAAACTCGAAACTCGTATTTTTACATTGTAAATACGTCATAGTGTTCACTACCTCACAGTTAAATTTTATACCTAAAGCTTGTAAAAAAGCATCTAAGCTCAACAAGTGGCCAGACGATTTCTTGGCGATTAATAGCTTCTCATGTATCCTACCCAATCAAAGCAGCATCCTTTCTCATCCCAATTAAACGAATACCAACAGATGGAAAAAGTACACAGTAAATTTATTATTGGTTTTCAGTGAATGAAAGTTAGTTAGTTAGTTGCAATGTAGAACTTCGTACGTATGTACATAAGTTAATTTTGCCATCACACATCAGCACAGAGACGCAAATGTCAAATCAAATCCCATAGTGATAAAGATAGTAGAGGTATTAATGGTATTGAAGAAGACTAGGGTTTGAAGATGTTATTCAAGAAGTATAATTCAGTGTGATAAGGTTACAAAGACAAAGGTAGAGGTGCTGACGATTCCAGAAGATTAGGATTTGAAAGAGCACAATGAATGGATGCACTTGCGCCATTGCAAACGATTCTGAGCCATGTCGTTCAAGGTCTCTAACCATTGGTGACTTTCGTCTCGTAGACGCCAACCAGGTAGTCTACATCTACCAACATGACTCAGTCCACTTGTCAGTGACTTCATAGATTTTTGCCATGTTTTGGTTTGGCCGCCACTAGCTTTCTTCCAAATTACTCCTACACCACAAAACATAGCTTGTTGAGGCAGTCGGTGGTTAGGCATTCGTAACACATATCCCAACCACCCCAACTGATGACGTTTCAATACTTCATCGATTGATCTGCCATCCTTACCTAGTACTCGTTTCCTAACGACAGCATTGCTTACTCGGCTGTCCCACGATATACGAGCAATGCTTCTTAAACATCGATGATCGAATACTAGTAACCTACGAACATCTTCTACTCTTAACAGCCATGTTTCGCATCTATATAGGAGAACGGAGCGAACTGCTGCGCAGTACACTCGTCCTTTGGTTAGCAAACGGATATCTCGCCTACACCATTAACGGCGTAAATTGGCAAAAGTCAATCGAGCCTTCTGTATACGTGCTGAGATTTCGTCAGCCACCTGGCTTTCAGCGCTGATGAGACTCCCCAGATACGTGCAGCGGTCAACACGCTCAACTACTTCACTCCCTATCACTAGTTCAGGTGCCGATGAAACCCAATCTTGAAGCAACATTTTGCATTTCGACGGGGAAATCCGCATCCCGAACATGCTTGCATTGTTGAAAGACGCTTATACGCTGAGTGACCTCTAAATAGTTATGTAAAGTGTAGTATTGCGTTATTTTAATTTTATAATGGTCAGTCTGAAGTTGTTTTAGATAAATTATTGATTTTTCAGTATAAGAAGTTAGGTTGATTGTTATTTTGAATGCCAACTCAATAATCCAGAGACTAAGCTCACAGGACCTTCAAGGCCCCTTGGTTCAATCTTTAGTGGGATCGTGTATACTGCTTAGGGGTAAACAATTTTTCAGCACTTCCGGTTTTTCTAAATGAGGTCTGTTCGTGATATCAAAATTACTAATTCATGTTAATCAGTTTTTCTAAATTAGATTATATTTCATACCTTTTCCAACTATATTTTTCACTCTTCACATTCTTTTAGATCAATTTAACTAGTGGTCTCACTGCATTACCATCGAATCCTGTAATCCTTGTTAACTTTTGCATTCCACAATACGTTGCATCTGGATTGAAAATTGCTAGAGTTGACATTTATGGCGAGGTATGTTTTGTCTTATTTTTATATGAAATTATACTAGTAAAGACTTTTTACTTACAGTTACACTTAAATCAGTTAGCAGAACTTAGCTATATTGTGGTGCGAGCTACTTATAAGTAGTATATGACGTGAGTGTCAACGTAATGTCTGGCAGCAGAAGGTGGGGAAAGATCAAGAAAGGAAGAGTTAGGACACAATGGGATTTGTATGAAACGCATGAATAGTGAAATGTCAGACAATGGATTGATGTTTTGCAACAGGAACAGTCCAGTTCGATATGATGAACTGATATTTTGCAAATTAACGACTTACGATATGGTTTTCCGATTTTACTGAGTAACTCTGTAATTTTCGTTAACTACAATCCGGTTGTCCCACCTGTGTTCTCGTTCACTACAATATTTCACTTTAGTAAGCAGATCTAATTTTTTTTCGATCCACTCTAAACATATAGAGTTAAGTAAATTTATCCTAGCTGTTTAGCTTTATTACGTCGATGGCCGTATTTAGTTTAATAAAATTATTCAAACTACTTACAAGTAACTATTTTCTAATTTTTAAAATATACCATATCGTGTTGTAGATTATTGTCGCAATTGTATATATTTATGTATGGCTAGGTAGGTAGGTAGGTGGTCAGCTATACTTTAATTTTATAAACCTCTTTTTAAAATTAGAAAGTCTTGGTAATTCGAGGAGATCTAAGAAAATCGAATTTTAGAATTTTCTTTTTAGCACAAGTTTATCAAAACAAGTTATCGATCTGTTAATTAATTGACATTTGAATAATATTAAGACTTAATTACGATTATATTATAGTAAAATGAATTCACTTGAACAATGGAGAATGTTGATTTAAAATTAACTTATTTGTTCTTGCGAGTTCTATTCGATACCTTGAGGTTATTTGTTCCTTCGACTGTCTCATCTTTTTGTAATGAGGGACTAACTGCAATGTGATTATTATTTTTCAAACTAGATACCTCGATAGTTCTCTATGAATGATTATTTTTTTCCTTCTATCTTCTTTCAGAAATACAAACCATTCAAAGGAGTTAAATATGCAACAAAAGCTGGTCAATATGAAGTGCGAACATGAATAACAGATATTATTTATGCTGTGTCAAATAGATATCTGTTGTTTATTTTAAGCATTTACACTACTTAATTTTTATATAAGCTGTGTTGTGTATGGTTTGGATTTTAGTTTATTGATTTGTTGTTTACATTGTTTTTAATAGTTGTACTTTTTACCAATGTTTTTGTGTATTTCATTTTGAACAAGTCCTGTAACAATTTATTTTGTTTATATCTTTATAACTTGAAAATTATTCTACAAACAATTTTTTTATCGATAATTGGATGATTAGAGAAATAATGGACTTATGGTTGATGATTTTTGAGGTGTTTACCAATTATGTGTTCTTTTCCATGCATAGTAAGTCAACTAAGATGATTGGTTTTTGAAGAAATATTTCATTAAACATGTATGTGTGTATGATACTTCAGAAGTGTTAATTTAAACTACTTACATCGTGCAAGTGACATTTCTGTCTGATTTTCTAATGAGGAGTTAATACAATTTGTAACTTATCCGTTTATTATTTATGCGTTTTTTTTTAAAGACAAAGAAAAACTCTGTTGACATTCGTAATTATGATATGATACATTCATTCTATGATAATGATGATGATGATACTTGATGTGTTCAAGTTAGAATCCTCTTTTCTGTGAATTATTAAAATGATATTTCCACTGTTTTTCGTTTTTTTTAAAATAATTAAATTAATAAATTTGGTCGAATTTGTCTTTTAAATTTATTATCAGCATAGTTTTTTTTTTCTCAGTGTACAATTCATTAAATGATTCCAATTCATGCAAAATCATAATTAGTCAGTCAGTCAGTTACGACGTAGAACTTCGTACGTACGTAAGTACGAACATCAGTTCAGGTTGCCATACCACATTAACACAGAGACGCAATAGTCAGATTAAACCCCTCAGAGATAGACATTAGTAGTAGCGGTTATGGAGTAGATTAGGGTTCGAAGATATTATTGAAGAAATATGATTAAGTGACATAAGTTTAGAAACAGAAAGGTAGAGGTGATGTTGAATTCAAAAGATTAGAATTTCAGAAAACATGAAGAGTGGATGCACCTGTGCTATTGAAAACAGTTTTGAGCCATGTCGTGCAAAGTCTCCAACAATCGGTGAGTTTCGTCTCGCAGGCCCCAGCCAGGTAGTCTACATCTACCAACATGACTCAGTCCACTTGTCAGTGACTTTATGGATTTGTGCTATGTTTTGTTCTGGTTGCCCTTAGCTTTCTTGCAACGTACTCTGACCGTAGCTGCTACCTTGGTGTGGTGGTCAGGCTTGCCTGTCGTGATGACCCAACCGAGCTATATTGGCTGGAACATATGTTCTTGAAGGTTCTACCATGCCAGGCAGGTCGATTGGAGAACGATGAGACTAAAAGCAGCTACCCAAGGTCTGAGGGCGAAGTTGTACTGCTGACTGAAGAGGGGTGTGACAGCAGTAGGGTTTTTTCCCTCGGACAACCAGCATCTGCAGCGATACTGCCTTCTCACAAGGAGGGAAGGGTTAGAAAAGGTCGACCATAAAAATGTCACACCTCACCCTACCTCACGGATTTCCGTCTCCGATGGTAAGGCCTTTTAAATAATAGCGGAGCTAAAAATTTAAAAACTTCTCATAAAACGGCCGTGCGTGACTGGCCTCAAGCAGTTGTCCCTTGGACTCTGCGGTCACGCTCCCAGCTCTCGAAGACCGACGCTAATCTTTATACCTTCTGAGGTCCCACGATGTGGGCAGCCGCGTCGTGACATCCACCCTCATACCCGTAATGGCACACGAGATCAAAATGGTCATAGTCAATCCATGCAAAATTAACTGCTGTTTATACAGCTATGATGATGTTGATGATTTATCTTGAAGTTACAATCAATAATTACCAGAACATATCATGAATTCGTTTTTCATGTTGTCGACTGTGTTAAAATGCACATAAAATCATCTTTAAAACTTGATAATGTTAGTCAAAATTATAAAATGTTGAATAATTGTCTAAGGTTAAGTTAACACTAAAGATGACTATATATTATATGAATAGTTGTTATTCTCTTTATCATATGATATGATTAAACTAACAAAAAAAATGCAGTTTATTGATTAGTCGATTTCATTGAACATTCAATCTCATTTTATAAACATTCACCAATGAATTTAATTAGTTGATGACTAAGACTACTGATCTGATATTTTGTTGTATAAGTCTGTTCATCAATCAATCACTGAGTCTATCTACCTATAATGTTGTTGTTTTTTCGTAACTCTATGAAAATGATAAGTTTTATTGTTCCAAATTTGTACTGTGTGTGGTGTGTGCTACTTCTACGAACGATATAAGTAGTATAAGAAGTGACGTGAAAGAAGAACTCTCACGGTCACAAGAGGAAAACGGAAAGCAAATGGAGCAAAAGCAAGAAGTAAATGGAGTACCGACAGGAAGTAAAGGAAGCAACAGCAGGAATGGAAGAAGGCTGGAGCGTTGGAAGTCAGGACTCAAAGATGGTGTGCAAATAGAGTGTTCAATGTAATGTTTTCGTTTTTAATTGACTAAGAGTGTGAATTTGCGAAATACAATCTATCGCACCTACTTCAGTCTTCTCAAGTGTACTGTTTTGTTGAGTTTTGTGTCGACTGATTTCCACCTGAACAGCACATGAGATCAAATTGGTCAAAATCAAATCTTTCCTACACCCCCAAAAACCTCTCTCAATGATACTATTTTGAATAGTGTTGGCAATTTCGACTTCGTTAGAAAATACAATGATGAATGTACTTTATTTGCTTTATCTGTTCCCGTCAAAATTCCTTTTTTTTCTTTTTCATAAACCCTATATGATGTCAATCGATAATGTGTGTATATACATTCAAGCGGATATTTCTTTCAACACAGCTATATATTGTAGTCATAAAGTAATATTGTGTGCAAATCTGCAAACAACGAAAAAAGAAAAAACTAATGTCTAATGTATTTACACATTAACTAAATAACCACCATAGTAAATTATAATAAATCAATAAGTTTAAACAAGACCAACTAGTCTCATCCGATGTAATGTTTGTTGTTCGCTATATTGATAAAGAAAAAAAATTGATAGGTAAGGAGGTGGAAAATGTTCATGATCATAAAATTTACAGGAAGAAAGTTGTGTATAAATCAGATCGTGAGAATCTGTATCAAACTGTCAGAAAAAATATATATAAATTAACACACTAGAAACAGTTTCATATAATAGAGATCTGTAGGCTGTTGAGTGATTCACACTTTTAAATAGATGGTAAGGCGTTCGCCTACAATGCCGAAGGTACCGGGCTCGAATCCTGCAAGGAGCAGGAGTCGTGGATGCGCACTGCCACTGATGAGTCCCATACCAGGACGAAACGGCCGTCCAGTGCTTCCAGGTTTCTAATGGTGGTCTAACAATGATTGATTGATGATTTCAAATGTGTAAAAATAGATTTTAATCACATCTATAATTTTTATGAAATATTTCGTTGATGATATTAAAAGGTAAAATTGGTCAGTGTGTACTCGAAAATGTGAATCTTGAACAAATTATCATGATACTTTTTTGATTTACAAATCTTAATAACAAAAGCACGGTTGGACATAAAAACATAAATGTGGAATTTGTTTGAACTATTAAATAAACAAACTAATCGAAACTAAACGTACTCTGATGAACAACCTGTTATTCATATATTTGATAAAGTATTTTTTAACAGCTAAAGCATAAGTAGTCGTGTTACGATGAATAATAAGTGAATTTTTATTGTAAATTTTATTATTCAACTATTGGTTTACAAGTTATTCACAATTAACAACTTCAGTTATCATGTGTAAATAATATTCCGCTGACTGCCTCGTCGAGCTATGTTTTTCGATGTAGGAATAGGTTGGAAGAAAGCTAGTGGCGGCCAAACTAAAATATGGCAGAAATTCATGAAGTTACTGACAAGTGGACTGATTTATGTCGGTAGGTGTCGACTATCTGGTTGAGGCCCGCGAGATGATAGTAATCAATGGTTAGAGACCCTGAATGTTATGGCTCAAAACTGTTTGCAATGGTGCAGTTGCAATTATTCTTTGTGTTCTCTCAAATCCTAATCTTCAGAGTTCCTCATCACTTTTTCTTTTTAAGTTTATTTCACTAGATTCTGATTCTTGAATAATATCGTCGAACCCTAATCTCTCCGATTACCGCTAATACCTTTACTACGTCTACTACTATGGGATTTGAACTGACAATTATATCTCTGTGTTAATGTGGTGTGAGAACTGATGTACGTAGGTACAAAGTTCTAGATTGCTGTTGATTGATTGATTGTAAATAATATTCCAGTGTATAGGTCTTTACTTTATCGTTGATTTCCTTTACTCAAAAGAGCCAGAAAAATACGAATTTACATAGTGCTCTTCTTTGTTCATAGCTTCGAGATAACCTATCTTTAGTTATTCAGAATTTCCGTGTTAACTTTTCTAATCTTTCATCTTTTATGAATCGAATTCTATAAGTGTTTTAAATATGACGACTGTTAAATTAAACTTTGAAGTTTCTCTTTACTCAGTGAATTTAGCAGTTTGTTGATTTCATATATTTTATATCAATATGATTTAGAGTGTACAGAGAAATTAATCTCAAAGTTTACGGTTTCTCTAAAATACTCGCAATATATCGAAATGTTTGGAGTATATGAATACTAGGTTAATTATTTGTCTGTTATCACTGAAAATTAGATGATTATCATATTTTAGTGTTCTTGTTTTACGCCTGTACCAGTTAAATATTACCAATGAAGAAGTTAGGATAACCTCACATTGATGTCCTGTTTATTGGTGGGATCGTATGGAAATATCTGGACCGGTGTTGTTAAAGCATTCACTATTGTACAACTAATGTGATCTTCTAGTATGAATTACATCTACTCTCTGTACGGTCAGCTTTACTAAGGCAATCGACACATCTGTAAATTAAAGCAGAACCTTTCATTTCATAAAATATTTTTATCACAAACTAAGTACCACAACCATAATTATTCCACATACCAAAATTTGCACAATTTTGCTATCGTTATTATTTAAATCGATTTTTACAAAGTTACCTCGGTTACACAATCATTTGTCTTGAGAGGAACTGTTTTTTCTGAAAAAAGTGTAGTAGTTTGTGTCTAGACAAAATATCTCATAATATTTGAATATCTTTCAATATTTCACTCTACAATTAGTTATTATAGTCTGTTTTTATACAAAAGCAGCTGACTTGATCATCGGTGATTTCGTGAAAGTTTCGAATCGATTTTTTTACTTAAATAATTCAGTGATTACCAATATATTATGACTGAAATGATGATTTCTTTTCTTGCTACATTTGATTGAACTAGAAAATATTTTGAAAATGGTCGAGTAACCAATCTGAGTGTTGAATAAACTAAAGTATATTGAATAGGTCAGCCTGGCGACCCCCAAGGTCGTCACGACGTTGGACGCAACTAGATCATATCGCCATCAGCCACCGATGGAGGGGTTCGATAGAGGACCATCGCTCGTTCTGGGGCACATGTTTAGATTCAGATCATGCTCTAGTGCGAGCGCGTATTTGTTTGCGCCTTACTGGACGCCAGAAAAATATCGCAAGAAAACCTCTTAGGGCTTTACTTAATGA